CCCATTTGATATAAATATGGCATATATGTTGATGCAAACTAAACAAAATCCTTTTGGTAGACTGTGGAGACTAACATAAACTCTCGAATTTAATATCTGTATCACGAGAAAAACTTCCTGCATGCTAGAAAACCCGATATGACTGGTTTATGATCTATATTTGTTTGGATTAAAAAAAGTGCGACCATTTTATGTGATACATGTCTTAATGGTATGATCCTATGATCATATAAACCTAAAACGTTTCATTCCCGACCAAAATGTTTTTAAAATGTTTTAGTGCCATCATAGGCAAGATATCATATTTTAGTTAATGAAGATACGTGCAAGATCATATTATATCCCACCCAATGAACCGAAGACGAGTGTTTAGGTGTAGTCAAGAAAATGGTAATCAAATCTTCCAATCGATTTAATATCCGTAAATTTTTTTTTTCATTACTCATAGTTCTTTCACGTTACTAACTTGTATGATGAGACAAGTTTATGCCGCCCTCAAGATACCAAGGATGCCGAAAATATGTTGTTTATTTCTTAGGCCGCCAATAACATTTAAATCATAGACCTATATTTTATATCTTGCGGTACTATTTTCATCAAACAAAAAGTTGATATTTTTTGAGTTTATGTCAATTTCATGCGAAAAGTTAAATAGTTATTTATATCAAATAGTACAAAGAAAACAAAATAAGTCATTTCTAGTCACGATGGCATGGCATCTATACAAAAGATTCGTACCATGGATCACACCTTTTTCGGAGGATTTTAGTCGTCATATATACTTCCGGGGACAAAGACCCGCGATATTAAATTTCTAAGGATCATCAAATTGATTAGTGTTGGTATAACTCACAAGATAACCTTTTAATCCGTCTTAGAGTTAAATAGTTGATATTATTCGGTCATCATTGTTCGAACATTAAGCGCATGAATATTAATAATCACATTACAAGAGTTTTTCTTTCTGAATTTCCAAAAGTTATTTTTCTCTGTCGTCTAAACTTAATTATCTCAAAGCTGAACTATGTTTCTTCTCTTTGATTTTTGATGTATCATGTCTTACAAGTTCACGAACAAAGAGAGTCATCAAGGATACTGTTATCTATGAATTATCGACATCAAACTAATTAATATTTTGGTAATGTAATAGAACTACCAGTCAATTAAATTAAACCGATTTGGTATGCTATCGTATGATAGACGTAATCAATCCTCAACCCACAACTGTATAATCAGATAGCGTTATTAATTAATCTCCATGCCTTATCATATGTTTTCTTTGGTACTGAGCTGCACCTCCACTATCTTGATGTGATGAATCTTTAACACTTTGAAGGATCAGTTTGAGAAACAGTAGTACTGTCTATTATCTATTGTATTTAAGTACAATATATAACTTCTATAAATTAATATTCGATAAATAAATATACACTAAATATCTCTATAAAATAATATAATTTTATAGTCCCAAATTATTTTTTTGGTTCATTTAGTATATCGATAAATTAATATCTCTCTAAATTAATAAAAAAATAAAATTTTGGTGTAGTCCCAACATTATTAATTTATAGAAATTTTACTGTATTCGAAAGTTTGTCTATATGACTCAAGTTTAATTCTAGATATTTTTTTAACAAATAATTTTAGAGATTATGTGACACATGTAGCTTAAAAAGGGATAAGTAAACATGCATTTCATATATGTTTTGTGATCAACTTCTTAAGATTTGGTTTTTGGATTCTTAAAAAAATGTTAGTTTTTCTTGTTATTTTATTTTTCTTCCTCAAGACAATTTATGTTGATATCTCATCTAGCTGCAAACATATTTTATGATTTTAGATAAAAAGAACTAATCACATTTAAAGTGTTAAAATAGTTAAAAGTTCCTTAATCACGAGTTTCTCAAGTATAGTGGAGATTAAGAACAATATAATATTTACAATCTATATAATAATGATACACTTTTGAAGCTCCTAAGGCTATCCACATCAGCAGTCGAGTGGGCCCCACGTATTTAAATTTAAAAGATTATATTTTTTTTAAAATGACTATGAACAATGAATACACTTTAGCAAAGTGGTATAAGGCATTTAATTAAGTCTGCAAGTGTGTGGGTTCAAAACCACGCAGATGTTATGTATTTTAGTTTTTTCGTTTGGATTATTATCATATGGGCTTTTTAGTTTTAATGTTTTTATTTTTTTTTTCCTTTGGACTTATTGTTTAAAGCCCAAAATAGTGGAAAATCATAAAGTTTGACGAACTCAAACCCAAAAACAATTAAAAATGGATCAAAAACGAATATCCAAAAAAAAGAAAAAAAAAAGATTCACACGCGGCACTATCATGTCCTAATATATATATTTTTTAAAAAGCTTAGTTTTTTTTAAAAATGACTAAGAACAATGAATACACTTTAGCAAAGTGGTATAAGGCATTTAATTAAGTCTGCAAGTGTGTGGGTTCAAACCACGCAGATGTTATGTATTTTAGTTTTTTCGTTTGGATTATTATCATATGGGCTTTTTAGTTTTAATGTTTTATATTTTTTTTCTTCTGGACTTATTGTTTAAAGCTCAAAATAGTGGAAAATCCTAAAGTTTGACGAACTCAAACCCAAAAACAATTAAAAATGGATCAAAAAACAAATATCCAAAAAAAAAAGAAAAAAAAACGAGTCTCACGCGGCACTATCATGTCCTAATATATATTTTTACTGTTCGAACATATTTCCTAATATATATTTTCAAAAAAATATGTATGTGTAATAAAATAAAATAGATAGTTTTGTTATTTATAAAATAACTATGTAATTTCTCTTCAATTTTTAATAGTTACTATAATTTCATTTTTTATCAAACTCCGGCGGATGGATTTCCATAGTCGATGACGCCGTAAATAAAAATACCACATTATTCATGAACAAAATCCAAACTTACAAAAAAACATATCCAAACCTATCTATTGAAACCCAAACAACAAATATTAGCTTAAATTAAAGTTATTTTCAAATTGATAAATCGTTTAGTACAAATATAAATATTATAAATAAATATTTATATCAAGTTTTGACATTCGATATAAAAACTATTTCCAACATTAAAAAAAAACAATATAGACATCTATTTTTATACACTAAAAACTATATTATAATTTAGTTATTCCTATAAACCTTATTTCGCATATAAATAACATTTAACACATTATATATACGATATTTTCACTTTGCACTCTTGCTACATTCTTTCCATTTCATCATTATTTGGTATTATTAGAATAACCAACTAAACCAACAACCGAAAAAAATTCAGATCCCGACCCCGCGCTTGCGCGGGGGTTATGCAGCTAGTTATTCATATAAGATGAAATCTAACTGCCAATGATGACATGGACACCTAGAAGATATTGAATGATGTCTTTTCTTGCAATAATTGCTGGATTTAATTAGTAAAGAGGGTTGGGGTCGAGATTAGGTCTGACATTTCGATCTTTTATAGAGATGCGGTCCATTTAATTCTTTTTCCATATTAGTACACTATTGACAGGTAAATGATTCAACATGGTGATGACCGACGACCATGAACAATAATACATCACCATTCACCAAAAGGCCATGCATGATCTACTTATAATAAATTTCGTAATCTTCAGTTACACCGATTCAATACATAATTGATAAGTCGGTAAAATAAGAAAGTATTGATATTGAAAAATCATATGTAAATATACAATTCTATTAAAATCATAAATTATATATATATACTTTTATATGAGTACAATAAATAATATTTTATTTCTTTTATATTTGTACTAATTTTTTTTATTAATACTTCGTTATATAGTGATAGTTTTTAGTAAAAATATATCTGAAACTACATTTAAATTTTGATAAACATATTTAGTATACACCGAATAATATAATTAAATAATTTAAATTTTATAGGATAAGTCAACTATTTGTCTAGTTTATAAAAAATAAATATATACTGTAAACTAAAAAAAATCTATAAAATAAATTTTTTATATATTAATAAAAATATAATAATTTAAATATTATTAATTTATAAAATAAAAATATAGAAATAAATATAATATTTTTATGAAGAAGAAGTGACAGTTCACTCCAGCCTCTATTATATTCTATTAATTTTATTTGTTCTAATGTAAAAATATCAAAACAGAAGTGACCCTCAAAAAACAGAACTTGTATTAGATGATAAATTTGATTTTATATAAAAGTTTTAGATCAACAAATTCTAGGCAATTCTCTTAAAAAATCTTAAGAATATGTTTATCACATAATATGTCAATTATCAAAATAGATATCACTAAATACAAAAAAAAAATATCATAAATGAATATTACATTTAGTATAGATAAAAAAAGGTTAATTTAAAGTATTAAAATGTTAAAGTTTATATCATAAATCCTAAATTGTAAAGCTAAATTTATTCAAAATTATATAATTTTAAATATAGTCAAATTTCACCCTAATTCTTAACCAATTTATTGCAGAAATGTTTAGTAAAGGCTATTTTAGTTATTTTTCTCTTTCAAAACAATTTTGGTGTAATTTTTTATATAAAAAACTATCTTTAGAGTATTTCTCTTAATTTTTTAATTATGATGATTTATGAATAAAATATTTTTGTTCTGTTTTTAGGCGTTTAAATAAAATTGAACGAAACCTGTCCAATGTCCACAGAAAGAATTGATTCATTTGCGAAAGAATTGACTCATTTAATCTGTTAAGCTTTAATTCAAATAAATAATAAATCAACCTTTATTTTTTTGTCACAAATATAATAATAATCAACCTTAAAAGTTAAAACCCTCACAAAAACACTGTAAAACAATTGAATATTGTCAAGTAGAAAACTTTTGTTTTCTCTGGAGGGAAAACTATTTACGCTTAATACATTTTCTTCTTTTGGCAAAAACTTAAAATTTATCGATTGTAATGTAACCAATTAGAAGCAGAATTACAAAAAGAAAGGAACAAAAATTAGAAATCGAAAGAGGAAGCAATAGTGAGTGAGAGATGGAGATGGGGAGGAGGAAGATAAGGAAGGAATAAGTTGTAGAGAAGCTTAAGGACGACGGAGATTTTGACAGGCTCCGCCTCAAAGATAACGTAAACCCTCTTTCTCTGCTTTGCTCATTCAACTAGGGTTTATGGGACTCTCTCTCTCTCGATTCTAAGTACGTTCGTGGTGTTACGACACGTAATCATCAGCGAATTGACAAACAAAAAGATGAGATATTGAAAAAGGAATGTGATTTGATTTGCCTCTGTTTTCACTGATTATTTTGTACATGTTTTTTGACAGTTTGATCCTTCAAGTTTGGAGATTTTACATATAGATATGTAAAGTTTGGTCCTTTGACCTTTTAGTGTTGTCAATTGCTGGAAGTTTGCTTGTATCAAAGTAAAAGCAATGTTGATTTGGACAGTCAAGTTGTTGTGAATTGTGGTTTAGGACAGTCAAGTCAATGTTTTGTGTGAAAATCACACTAAAATAGAGTTTCGGAATTGGGTTGGAGATGACAAGTTGCTTATATTACTGTTCATTAACTTTGATGGGACTTTTCTTTACAACCAAAGAGGCATTGTCATTTCGGTAATTTATTATGATTTGAGATGAGACTTAAAGGGTTACACTGTCAGGCAACTTGGATTGTGTTCTTATTAATGGTGTTGATGAACTTCTATACAGCTTTGATTCTTGCATTGCCTTCTTACTACTTGGTTTTGCAGGAGGAATTACGAAACAAGATGATATCACTTGTCAACGACTCTACAGCTTTGAATCGGCCGTGTGCTCAGAATATGAAACCCAGGCAGCTCTCTGATGCTAAACTCGAAGAAGTTGGGTAAGTTAAATAGAGAATCTTCCTTCTGTTTCAGTGACACTGACACTTCCTGTTCTAACTGCTTGGTTGTGACTTATGATGACAAGCATGCTAAAACGTTCGGATTTGTAGGAGCAAGATGTTGAGCCAGCTTTCAGATGGGTTGTGGGGTATAATAAGATCAGAAGACGGGATGAAGAGCGAGATTAGAGACACCGTGCAATCTGTCTATGCTACCTTATCAAACCCAGGAGACGTTTTTCAAGAGGGACCATCCACGAGAGAAGCGGAACACAACATACCAGCACTGGTCCCAAAAGGTGAAACCTCCTCGTCTTTTCTCCATACCAGCTGTACAAGAAGAAAATAAAAGAGAAGCAGCATGGAGTAGTAATAGCAACAGAGTTAGTCATTGACAACAACAGTGATGAAGAAGATCCTGAACTCCCTCCTGGTTTTGGCTAAACATGTGATTTATTTATTATAGACTTTTTTGCTAGATTTATATGAATGTTCTTTGTGTAAGATTATAGCACTACAAAAAAAAAAAGATTATAGCACTAAAATTAGACCTTATAGTAACAACAGTTCACATTGTGAATAAAAGTATGATGTCCACAAGTTTATTAGTAACAAATAATTCTTTTGAACTGGAAAAACTTTGTCCCCCGGAAAGCACAGTTGGTCTGGTCTGTCCACTGATATTGACATTCCACAAAGGGACTAACGGTGAATCAATAAACTTATAGTTATACCACTGAACAACAGGTTTCGTGGTGTAGTTGGTTATCACGTCAGTCTAACACACTGAAGGTCTCCGGTTCGAACCCGGGCGAAGCCACTCTTTGAGTTTCTTTTTCATTGGTCACTTGTCCAAATGTTGTAGATAATGTTTTCCTGCCAATTGTTTGACATCCACCACTATACTAGGCCCACTAACGGTGGGTTGCACGTTGAAACAAATGTTAGTATAGTCTGGCCTACATACTTACTATTGAAGAGAAATGTAATCTATACTTCAAATCATATAATCAACATGTGATGTGATTTAGATATTCTAAATCTACCCATAACTGTAACCTCATTGACAGAAATAATTTGTCATTTACTATCTTATTTTATCGACTTTTACATAAAATATAGTTTTTGGAGAGTATTAAGAACTTCAGAATATAGACAGATGAAATATATATGTATCATTAGACTTCAAACATTTTTGTGTCATCTCTCTGGCTTTTATTAAGAACTTCATATTATGACACACACACACACACACATATATATATATATATCAGACTTCAAATTTGTGTCATATCTCTGGCTTTTATTTTAGTCCAGAAAAACATAAGGATTGATTAAATATGAATGTTGTTATATACCTAGGCATCTATGATATCTTCTAAGTTTCTTACGAAGCGATGTGGCGTAATCATTTATCATCCATTCATTAGATGTTGTCGCAAGGCAATTTAGGAAAGGTTCATTATCCATGTGATGCAAAGAGTCAGATAAAAGTTTGGTGCTCCTTCTAAGTAAAGATAACTCCTTCGCATAATCGTATTACACACACTTGTATAAGTATTATGAATAATTTACTACTAAACACCTTGATTATACATACAAGCATAGTTGACAAAACATATCTTCGTGTTCATAGATAATTGTTTTTAAAGTGTGTAAACTTATGTTCTTCCATGTATTATCATCATGAAAGGTTTTTTCTTTTCTTCTTTAGTTTTAATCGAATGAAAGCCAATTTACAAAAAAAAAAAAAACGAAAAAGAAAATGGGCATGGACGATATACGATAACGAAAAATTTTAAACCTGTTAACAAAATTTTTTTATTTGTTACATAATCAGTTATATATACATGGACATTCAAGTATTCAGTTGAGTACAAATCAGTTTTTTAGATATCAGTTTTTTGGTTTGAAAATTAAAATTTATTCGGATGTTACAAGTTTCGGATCAAAATTCAAATTGAATCCTTCTAGCCTAGATAAGTTTGTAAAATTTAAAAGTACCTAGAAATAAAAACCCGTGCGGACGCACGGGTCAAGCTCTAGTAAATATCTTAAAGCTGGACATATAACTTCAGATCATATACAAAGACAGAACAATAGTTTTCTGTGTTTCTTTTCTTTTTGTATATTCATTTCAAAGTGAGACATTTCTACCTTTTGTTGTGAACCGACAATTTTCATTTTGTAAATGCTTTAATCAAAATGCAATGTCAATTTGACTCTCTTTCACATGAATGATATATTGGTCAAATTCCAATTGGTGCAAATTGTTAGTATTTGCTTCTTTATTTGTTTTAAAAGGAAACGTGATGGATTTGTAATTACTAAATCCATCTTACAAAACTATTTCTTTGGATATTAGCAATCACAACGCATGATCACCAGCTGGCAAAGTGATGAACCCTAAAATATCATACTAAGGGCATCTCCATCAGTGATAATGAGATGGAGATCGCCAGCTGAATTTTTTTTATTTATTTTTTTTTTTTTTCGTTTATTTTTCAAAAAAAAAAAATTGACCAATGACGAACCGTCACGTTTCCTAGGACCCGCGCTACAGTGCGTGAACAGACCTTGCAGATGAACTCCACAGCTTCAGGTTTTCTTGAAAACTGTGTAATCCCCCCCCCCCTTTGAACTTCATAAAAATCCTTAATGGGGATGGCCTAACGAATAGAATGCAATAAATAAAACATTTTACAGAATTGCAGTACGTTTGCCAAGTCTACTTTTCTAACAATATTCTATGAAGAATATATTTGTATTTCTTACCATAATTGGTATGCAACTTTTAGTGATTGAATAGTAACTGGATAAACTAGTAGATTTCATGTGGCAGTGGCAGATGTTGTCATAATACTCATCTTTGATAACACATTTAGTCATTCTAAACGACAAACTCAATGCGTGATTATTGCCTGGCGTAGTGAATGAAGTGAAAGAAAATCGCGTTACTATTTTACAGATCTGATTCGTTTTTGGTATATGTGACGACCTCTCTTTTTTTAAAGGTTTACGTGTACAACCTTTATTAAATTGTACTATGGTCAAATGTAAATTATATTTAATGCATGTTTAAAATCTAAACATATACCTAGATATAAATAAGCACGTTGACCATAACTTATTTTATACAGTATATAAATGATTTATTCAATCAGTGATTCCTAGTTTTACTATCCGAATCGAACTCGAAATTATCCGAACCGAACCGAAAATAGGTCAAATAGTAAATGGATTATCTAGCATCCTATCCGAACGACCCAAAACCCGAAATACCCAAACCCCAGACCTACCGTGATACATCATAAACGTCTGATGTACTTAGCATAAAAGATGAAACATATACATATATGGCCTGTAACACCAAAGCTGCTATATTAGCAGGGGCGATTTTTATAACAAAACTTGAAAGAGAGGCAAACGCCAAGGCTAATGATAATTAGTGGTTTGTAGTTTACTAATTACTACCAATTAGGATCTGTAGTTAAGAGATTAAATTAGGCAGGGTCGTAGAAGATGGATGGATAGATCTCAACTGAGTGGTCCTACTACCGACACTTCTGAGTTCTGACTCATGCTTGAACACCAGACTTCGAATCTTAAAATTTAGATTTGTTTATCTTTTTTTTTCTTCTGTGTTTTAATATAAAAAAAAAAAACTCCCTCCAACTATCACATCCAACAGCTAATTTCACTCAAAAACTTTACATTCATCATCTTCCTCCTCATCATATCTCAAAGATAAAGACTCTCTCTCACACCCTAGCCGAAAAAGAGAGAAATATTTCTATTCCCATTTTGCCCCTAACTAAAAATGGTGGAAGCTCAGTCATGGACAACGCGGCGGATGAGCAACCCGAGATTCGACTCCGCCGCAACCGCCCCACAAACAATCCTCGACATCCCCGAAACACCTCCTCACTCCTCCACAGGAAAACCTTTCTCCCTCTCCTCCCCCACCCTATCTCCGACCATCCTCACGGCGGCGATCATCGCCGCCTGGTTCGGCTCCAACATAGGAGTCCTCCTCCTAAACAAATACCTCCTCTTCTACTACGGTTTCCGCTACCCAATCTTCCTGACCATGACGCACATGCTCTCCTGCGCTGCCTACAGCTCCGCCGTGATCAACATCGCCGGCGTCGTGCCGCGTCAGCACATTCTCTCCCGCCGTCAGTTTTTGAAGATTCTTTCTCTCTCGGCGATCTTTTGTCTCTCCGTCGTGTGCGGCAACACTTCGCTGCGTTACATTCCTGTATCTTTTAATCAAGCGATCGGAGCCACCACGCCGTTCTTCACCGCAGTGTTCTCTTTTCTCATTATGTGTAAGACGGAGTCCACCGAAGTTTACTTGGCTCTCCTTCCTGTTGTCTCCGGCATCGTTTTAGCTTCTAACTCTGAACCTTCGTTTCATCTTTTTGGTTTTCTCATTTGCGTCGCTTCCACCGCTGGTAGAGCTCTTAAATCCGTCGTCCAGGTTTGTAAATTTGGCCTTGACCGGTTTGGTTTTCTTAATTTTTTCCGGTTTAAAATTAATTAAAACCGAAATTGCGTTCTTCCAACAACTCGTGTGTCTTAAAATTAATTGAAACCGAAACTGCGTATATTGGTTCAAATCTGTCGTAACCGGTTTGGTTTTCTTGACTTTTTTCGGTTTAAAATTAATTGAAACCGAAACTGCGTATACTGGTTCAAATCTGTCGTTACCGGTTTGGTTTTCTTGATTTTTTCCAGTATAAAATTAATTAAAACCGAACTTGCGTCCTTCCGACAACTCGTGTGTCTTAAAATTAATTGAAACCGAAACTGCGTATATTGGTTCAAATCTGTCGTAACCGGTTTGGTTTTCTTGTCTTTTTTCGGTTTAAAATTAAGAGAGAATTAGGCAAATGCCCAAAATTGAAGCCTATATTAGGCAATTACCCATGATGAGACATAAAAGTAAAGTTTTATACAATTTAGGCTTGTTTAGACGAATTTGTTCTTCTCACCTTCTCTTTCCCATGTGAAAAATCTGACATCTCTCTCTCCAACGATTCTTCATCTCTTTTTTACATTCATTTTATTTAAACCACACATATTTTTCACATAACTCTTTTTCACATTCATTTCTTTCTTTTTTTCTTGATTTTTGTTTCCCATCTACAATTTTATTTGTAAATGATTTTAAATTTACTCATTTTGATAGAGAAATGAAACTTCAACAATATTTATTTGTTAATATATAATACCTAAT